TTCGACCCTAATGGGCATCTGTTGGTAAGGTCTTACTCCAACACAAAAATGCTGCTCACTTGCACTGATTTAGGTATCTACTGCCCCCTATTGCCAGGAAAAAATAAACACTGTGACTTTAAGCATGGTTGTTAGGAATAAAGCCAGCATCACAGCTCAGGGTTGGCCTCTTGACCTCAGTTAAACAGCTCTCATCGAAAATTAATCATGAGCAGGAATTTCTGGGAGACTTAAGCTGAATATGTAAGAGCAGAAAAGGCGTCTAATTTCTCTGAATCATGTCATTAAAAAGTAAAGCATCTTGAATTCCAGTAAGAGACCGGCAGCTCAAACCGTAAGATCTCCAAACTACCTTTTAATTCTATGAGGCACGAAGGTCAATACTCTTAGACTCTGTACACATGCAGCCCAGTATCCCTCAAAATGAAGATATTTTTCTGTGGTTTGGCCTTTCTATTGAAAGTAAAGGCAAACGCCACCAACGAGGATTCTTTCAGACACTGGAGATATGCAAATTCTCTGTGGTCAGTCTTTGCTTGTGGACATAGACAACCGGGGTTTTGGCAATGTGACTGCCAGTGAGAAAGATGCTCTGATGTCAGATGAACCGTGTTGACACCCAGTTATTTAAAATAGGAATCACTGAAGAGCACAGGTAAAGGATGTTGTTAAGGATGTGGAATGATTTTTTTCCAGAAAAGACATAGACAATTTGGCGAACTACTGCCACCTACAGGCATGCCCAGGGTCGGCGTTAGGCCTGGCTACTTGGGCTGAAGCCCCGGATGTTTTATGAAAAACCCTGGATCTAAATCGCGGAAGTAACATGCAGTACCAAAGTCCAACAGAGAGGGAGCAGCTGGCAATAGTTTGTATACAGCCTGCCTGAGCCTCCACCACTGAAGAAGAAGCCCTTCAGCAGCCGGCTTCTTCTACACTCTGCCTGAAACGCATGAGTGAAGATGGACATAAGGACGTTTTTTAGACAAAAAGTACAGAACTCCAGCTTTGATGAGACTGGTGTTGACTCAGGTTTGTGAGTCTTATTTGAAAATGTTTGTTGTGCTGCTGGTTTGCCTAAAGTTAGCTTAGCTTACTATCAGGTAAAGTTGATGGAGAAAGAAAGGGAATATTTACTATCACCTCACACTAAACACTAACAGGAACAATACTCTGCCCTGAAAATGCTTAACATGTAGCTTCAGATTAAAAATTATGTGGTATAATACAAATATATATGACTAGTGCGTGTCACGTGTGTGCGTGCACGTGTGTGTGTTAAGCCCCGGATCTTCTTCAGTCCTAAATCCGCCCCTGGGCATGCCTATGAATGAGCTTCATAATGCACTGGATTATTTCACTCAAAATGAGATGATGTGGGACAAAGTTTGATTAATTTTGGTTTTACACAAACTCCGGTTACTTGTGAGCATTCGTCTCTTTCGCACAGAGTTGTTCTAGGACAGTGGTTCCCAAACTTATTTAGCCGTGCACCCCCTTCTATGTCCCGACCATGTCGACGCACCCCCCAGCCCCACATCAGGGCATGGCTATACATATATAGCCATATATATATATATATATATATCAGACGTCACGCTAAACCAGGGGTCGGCAACCTGTTCCCATCAAAGAGCCATTATTACCCATTTCCCACAATAAAGAAAACACTGGGAGCCACAGCAGCCGCGGTGTTGTGGGCGGGGCCTACCCTCAGACAGCAGAGCGCTGCTTTAACCAATCACAACAGGTGACAGCAGCCAGTACCGGTCGCTCGTGTACGTCAAAGTTATCTTTCATAAGACGATAATCAATAAAACGATTTATATAAAATGGATCCAGAAGTTGTAGCCCGTCTCTGCCTACAATATTTTGATATTTTTCACCCTGTTGGTGGTTTTACTGAGCAGGTGCCACTTTTGTCATACGTTTCTTTTTAAAACATCTTTAGACTGTTCAGAATACAAATCCAGGCTCTGTCACGTTTGATTGTTGTAATTAAACTTTGTTGGTGGGGAAGGTCAGAAAAGGATCCGATCATTTTGTTTTTCCCTCATTTACAGTGACGGAGATAACGGCGCAGTGCGCCTGGCTCTGGTGTTAATCAAGTTTAATTATATCTATTTGCAACAATTTTCACAAGAAAACAGAACAGTTAAAAGCAGGGCTTGTGTTGTGTTGACCGGACAGTTCACGTATTTGACCGTTTATTTTGACGGAGAAAGAATAGAAAGAATTACCCCGACGCATGCAGACGAACTGACATTTTATTCGTCATGCACATCGCAGATGTAGCTAAATCACTCAAGAAAAGATCTCCATCTGAACATCTGAGCTGGACACTGCTCAGCGCAGCTTGCTGTCAGCGCGTACTACATAAGGTACACAGCGAGCTGAAGATGTGGAGAGGGGCTTGGAGGGCGTCGCAGAACCAGAGCGCACGCGGGAAGATTCCTCCGACTGAAGCGAGACTTGTCACTTAGAAAATGTTCCTGATTATGAAACTTTGGCTGAATAGTGCTTGTTCCTGTCTCCAATGTGGCGTCGCATCCAGGAGCCGTCTGAGGAGAGTCCCAGAATCTCACATCCTCGTCAGCTCAGAATGCGCCTATATGATTACGCACAAGCGTGACGCGTCGACCCGGTCAAAGACCGGGTTGGACCTGTTCAGGTTTACGCAGACAATCTTTACATTTAGAATTAGCTTACAGATGTAAAATTAATGCAGTAAAATGTAAAGCTTTTTTTTAATATCCAGTCATTATTTTACAAGCACAGAGAGCCGCATCAGATGGATGGAAGAGCCGTATGCGGCTCCAGAGCCGCGGATTGCCGGCCCCCTGAGCTAGGGCATATGCGGAGGACACACACACACACACACACACACACACACACACACACACACACACACACACACACACACATACACATACACATACACATACACACACACACACACACACACACACACACACACACACACACACACACACACACATAAGCAAAATATACTTGTTTTCAATTACATTTATTGGGCCCACTGACTTTTTCTTAGGCCCACCCACAAATGAGTGTCTGGCTACGCTAATGGTGACTTTTGACAGACTTCTCTGAGCTCCGCAGCCATCACACTTTTCACCTCGCGCACCCCCTAGCGGCAGCTCGCGCACCCCCGGGGGTGCGCGCACCACACTTAGGGAATCCCTAGGAACTAAGTTCTTAGAACCATTCTGTTAGTTCCTATAACTACCTGTCCCAGGGGAACCTTTTGAGATTGCATTCACACAGCGCTCAGGGGACCTTTTAGAGGCGGATGTGACAAAACTGCTTGCGACAGTGACATGTTAATTAGGTGCCGGGAAAAAAATTGAGAAAAAACAACACCATCAAGCTAAGCTAATGTGGAGAGCTAGCAGTCAACTGTGCTCATTACCTGCTTGATGGGAATACTTTTGATGAGCGATCAAATCGCAAGTGTCACGTCGAGGCCGCTAGAGCACGCAAAAATAGCTGGGAAGTGGAGAACCCAGCTGCGAGTGATGCTCCGTTTCATGGCGGGAAAAAGGGAAACAGCGCCGCAGATAAACCAGAAAATGTGTACGTTAAACCTATTAAACACGCACTTATTGTATGCATTTGTATGTATATTTGTGTGATTATACATTTTAAATGGAATTCTAGTGTTTCCATTGAGCAGATTACATTAAGTGAATAATTCAAATTACATTTTAACCTGTGTTCTGTTTGCATTCTTGGAAGTTATTGCAACTCGTGGACAGGTGGAAAAGGGTTGTTTCATGTTTTACTGATGAGAATTTTCTTGCAAATTCATGCATTCTTGCCATGATCCAGTCCTGCTCTGTTGTTGTGCACATGTGCAACTCCACCTCTGGCCCCGCCCACCCATGGGCTGTCTCACCTGATTTCACCTTTCTCTAAAAATCTGTTAATTGATCTTTTAAGAAAGTCCAATTTCAAATAATTAAAATACAGTGCAAACTGAAAAATGAAAGTACAGAATTGTACCTTTAAACAAACATTCTGTAATTTACACACTGATCAAAAAAGGAAAAAGTGGAATGATTGGGACTCATGTGATGCCTAATTACCTTCAGGTTTTGACCTGCAATAAGAGAAGGAATGCCGAGTGGAAAGATGATTGCATAAAGAACAACTTGTGTAAAGCATTTTGAAAAAAGTGTCTGTACTTCCTGGGCTATTTGCTTCGTGAGGAGGTTAAAGAATGTCCCCAAGCTACGAGGGCATGAATATCAAACAAATAGCCGCCTTCAGACACACATCAGACTCTACACAGATCAATGTGACTTTAAAAATCCACATTCTGTAAATATATGACATGTATTGTCCCCAAGAAAGATGAAAATGTGTTTTTGTCCCTTTGTTTCCTTGGCACAGATGAACAAAGGCATCAGGGTGGAATATAAATAAAAAAATACCAGACACAGCTACCACTTCAACTGTCAAGCAGCAAATAAAAGAATGGGAGAAAACACAAACACACGCCGGCAAAGTGTGGCAGCAAGAGTGATGGGAGGAAGGAAGAGACACGAGATGAGAGAGAAGAGAAAGGAAGCAGGAGGAGATAAATGTCAAGATTCTGGGGTTGGAGATAACACCATAGCATCACTGATTCAATTTTTTGTCAAATGCATCTACTGTATATGTGTGGCTAAAAAAACAACTTTTTCTAAATTATATTCAGTTATTTCTAAGAGTTGCAGGAAAACATCATGTTGCAATTTCTCAGAACCTAAAATTAGCTTTTAGATCCATATGGTCTCAATGAGAGAGGAGGCGCTCGTGATTTTAGGGTTTAAGTCATCGTCTGAACTTTCCTCTGACTTCCACGTAAACAGCTGGTCTAGTTGAGGTGGATAAACTTAAACCGTAAATCTAAGACTCATTACTTACAACAAACATGCAATTTCAGCTGCTTCTTTATTTTTTTTTATTTTGGTCCAACTCTGAATCCTACTCACATCCTTTGAGACATCAGCTACAGAAGAAGAGATGTAAGCTAGGAAGTTGATCGAGGTTTTTCTTTAAAGCTTCAAACTGATGGACGTGCAGGCAAACGACATCAACCTGAAAAAAAGCAAGAAAATGGACATTTATAAGTTAGTTAAGTACATTTTAAGTGCATTATTAGAATGGATCCAAGTGTGCAAAAAACTCAGTAAATAGACAAATGCACAAAAACACAATAGGGATCTTTGTAACTTACTGATATGCTTAATATTCATAGTCTGCAGCAATTAATTAATTAATGCTCATGATATATTTCCTATTTAGTGTTGGTGCTTAGCCCAAAGGCTTGATCACGGCTGAAAGCAAAGAAGAAGTGAGTAATACCAGACTCAGTTGGATTACCACACCAGTCCGAGCTGCACTGAAGCTCACAAAAAGGGAAATAAATGAAACAAGTTTGGAAAACACCTCTTTTTTTCAACACTGTACAAGCTGGACTCAACTTTTCCAACTGTTTAAAAGCTGTTGGCAGTATGATACTCATGTTCGTAATAAAAAGGCACTCCTTCATAACTGAAAGCTGTGAAACAGCTCATAATCTACCTGAAAACTCGGTTCTGAATCTCAAAAGAGTGGTTGACTCATTTATTCAATACATTTGCAATGGTCTCTGGTAGGAATGAATGCCTTGTATGTCGTTCTCAGGGGAACCAATATACTGGTGGACCATTTCTCAGATCTTAAAGTTTTCCACATCACAGCTGAGCTTCAGACGCCAGGTTTGGAGTCTTATTTTCTGATATTTTGACATCTCGTCTCGGGTTGGATAACAGCAACGCGACTCTACCACTGACTTGCAGCTATAGGCTATACCAAATGTGTCTCAGTGTAAAATAACCATAACCATTTTATCTCCACAAATAACAAATGCCTGGAGGAGCTTTTGCCATGTGGTGAAGTTGCTAATGCTAACAGTTAGCTTAAACTAGCAGAGACGTTCTCTGCTGTTTCCTGGATGCCAAACCAACAACAGCCTTCCCCATCGTGAGTCAAGATGGGTGAGTCCATGAACATTAAGTGACTGTGTAACATAGATCTGTCAGGCTTATCAAATCTCACCGTCTATTTTCTATCAGAAGCTAATGCAGGAGACAGGTGTGGGAGACTATTTTCTTGTTTAGCCTTTATATAAATCTCAGAGTTACTGATTATAATCAGAAAAGGCATTAAAAAATGATTTTTCAGTTACCCACACCTTTAAATATTTTACCTTCTAACAATGGTAGCTTGTATTTAAATGGGAAATTACTCAATGCAAATGGCTGGGTTCCTTATATAGGAAACCTTTTACTGATTGGCTTAATGAACTGACCTGTATCGAATTGTTTACTTTGCAAAGAACCTTGAGTCGACTTGTCGTGATTTTGTGCTATAAAAATAAACTGAATTCAATTGAAACTGTAACATAGATTATATAAATAAAGTTACAAACAAAAGTTAAAATTCAAATAATTGAAGGGTAACCCTCTCAGACTCAAATTAAGTTTTGATAAAAGGACGAACAGTACTTCTGAGTGAAAAAATGCTCATGAAATACGTATGTGGAGTAGCCAGTTAGGTAGGTTTTAATGTTGCAAATCTGCAACGCCTGCCTCCAGAGGGTTAAAATTATAAATGAACACACCCACTCACTCATTCTCTATATAATTCGTTCCATCGTCACTTGGGTTGCTGCGAGCTGGTGCAGATCTCCAGCAGTCATTGGGTGAGAGGTGGAGGACAGTCTAGACAGGTCACCAGTCCATCACAGGGCCACATACTGATAAATCATCAGTCACACACTCACTCAATTTAGAGTCGACCTGACATGCATGTCTTTGATCTGTGGGAAAAAGCCACGCATGTGTGGGGAGAACATGCTAACTCCAGGGATGTGAAACTGCAACCTTCTGGTTGCAAGGCAACAGTGCCACCATGCAGCCCATAAATACAGCACAATTAAACAAAAAGAATAAAGGCTTCTTTCTTTTTTTCTTGTTTTTTTTTTTTTGTATAATTCAACATATTTGAACAAATGTCAAAATAAAAGTCCTATAGGTTACAAAAAAGGCCATTAATCTTCCTTTCCTTGGATTATTTTATGAAACTTTTATGATAGCATCTTCAGCTTTTCACGTTTTCCTCCTTTCAGTTCTGCAAATCCATTCCAAAAAGAGGACGCAACCACTTCCTCCATGTGTCACTCCACCCCATTTACTAACACAGCAAACATGGAGGTAATTAAAGTTGCATGAAGGTGCAGTCATCGCCCAGCACTCTGTGGCTCAATCACAACTTCATCCCAAACCAGGCAACGCCGAATCCTGCAGCTCAGCACAGCAGTCTGTTCTCAGTGATTCTGATCGGTGTATGCATGGACAAAATATTAACATCATATTATTAATGCCAGTCTAACTCAGAATCCATGAAACAATGGAAAACCCCGTAAACACTAACCTTTATTTGTGATGTAGGCAGTGAGAATGATCGTTCTATTTGGAGATTGTTTGATTGAGTTTATTGCGTAATTAACCCCAAACTTTGACTCTGGTTTAGTTTTTGCAGGACTCAGCGACTCCCTGCTGAGAAACCGCCTGATCAACAAATAAAATCTGTTAGATTTTACAAGATGTAATAAAAAGACATCAAACCGAAAAGCTGAAACAATAGTCCCTTCAGGCAGCTTCACACCCACGTGCGAGCAGGTCCAGAGCCTGAAACACTCACACAGTAAAATGAGAAGCTGCTCTTCTGGGAAATAGAGGAATATTATTATCATTTTCACAGCCGTATCAGGGGATGAGAAAGTAATCTCTAGCCTCCGGTTTGAGGACTCTGAAAATGACACTTCTGGGACACAATATAGGTGAAACCAGGGACAGGAGATGATAATCATTGCAATTACAGCGTCAGTCGTTCAGCTGCAGCTCAGCCAAGGATAACAAGTAAGCTCCTTTCCTGGGATTCACTTTGAATGGTTTCAAGTGTAAAACACACACACACACACACACACACACACACACAAACACACACACACACACACACACACACACACACACACACACACACACACACACACACACACACACACAATTAGCATCTGCAGGGATGAAGGTTAAGGACACTGTTTTAAACTATTCAAAGAAAAACTTGCTGTCCAAAGAGACATTTGTACTTTTTCCTACTCAGCAAGATCATGCAGCTCTTGCTAAAACACACATTTGTTTTTAGACCACAATACTGCCGAGTGAATACTTAAAAGCTTCCTGTTCTCATGTAGCAGAGCTGCATCAGGTTTGCAGACCAACAAGCAGACACGAGAGAAGAAACCACCAAGAGAACCAAGTCAAAATGTACATCTAGTGGTTTTCTACACTGGATGCAAATAAGCATAACTAGAAACTAAACACTTGAGTAGGTTTTAGGTAGCTCTTTGAACAGCTTCATTTTGGAGAAACATATTAGTTTTGGTTGAACAGATGCTGTGTTAGCAGCTTATTTATTTAAAAAATATCTGTGGTTTGTGGGTGTTTTATTTAAAGATGTGGTTCTCTGAAAAAAAAAACATCCTGCACCTATGCCCTGCATTACCTTGTGGTAGAAAATAGATGGTGAGACGAATTTGAAAATCATGACAGATCTACATTACACTGTCACTTAACATTCATGGGCTCACGACGGGGGAAGCTGTTTTTGGTTTAGCGTCCGGGAAACAGCACAGAACATCTCAGCTGGTGGAGGCTAAACGTTAGCATTAGCAACTCCACCACACAGCAGAACACCTCCATGCACCATCCAAACATCAATGTTGAAGAGCAAACAGAGTCAGTGGTAGAGTTGTGTTGCTGTTACTCAGTCTGAGGCGAGATGTCCAAATATCAGGAAATAAGACTAAATCCTGCCTTCAGAAACTACCTTCTCCTCCAGCTGATTTGTATTTCTTGAAAAAGGCACATTTGAGCTTTTTCTCCCAGAATACAACTTACAAGGTATTCATTCCTACTATAGACCACTGCAAATGTATGATTAAAACAGGGAACTGCATCTTTAAAGGGATACTAGGCAGTTTGGGCTTGCTTTCAGCACCCCCTAGTCCCCGTTTAGTAGAACCAAAAGTGAAACTTCTCACCTCGTTGTACATTTGTCCAACTAGGACTGCACTCCAAAGTTGCAAATGCGGTATTCTGGTGGTGGGGGGTCTGAGTAACATTTCATTAACCCTGTATAGGGTCATTTTAGCACATACTGGCTCAAGAAAAGGATGTGGAAATATGAAAAAGTTGCATTGATGCCCTTAAATAACCTTTTAAATAGGATTTACATTACATGTATGAGGTTACTTGCAGGATAAGTTAGCTTTTGAGTTAGCTACTGTGGCTTTTCTAGCTAAAGTTTGTGAAAGATCTTCCAGAATAAGCAGAAAATATAAAATGTACGACCGTATAAAGGTTATTGTGATATCTTGGGAGAAGAACCAGTGTATTCTCCAGTAATTCAGTTACTGTCGAACATTTATTCTGCTGCTTTCACAGGGAACTCACCATACAACAACTACGCTTCTTCCTCTGGTCTACCTAGAGGTCACAAAGAACTAACCGGCACAACAATGCTCCCCCTAGTGGCTCTTAGCCACAAAACACTTTTTAGACACTTTACTACATCCCCCTCCCCCTGACAAAATCAGTTAGAAATCAACCCGGTAAGGAGGATAAAAGTCACAACAAAAACAATCCTTACTCCTTAAGGTGACCAACTAGACTACCAGGTGAAATTTTACTCTGTTACCTTCGTATATCTACATAACCAAAACAAGAAAGAAAATTATTATTATTTTTTTTTCACTCCCGGCTAAACAAAGTCATTTAAGAGAGCAGGAGCCTTCCTGCCCCTCTGTGACCTCCTCATCAGAGGCTCTTCACTCCTTGGTGCCATCTCCACGTTTTCTTGTTGTGATCCCCAAGCAGTAGCCTCCTCTGGCTCAGCGTGGACCAGTTGCTCACTGTTGCCCTGGGAGACAGCTTCAAGTTCTGGCGTTCCCTGCCGTTGTTCTTTTGAAGATGTCATTGCAGCGTCCACATATCTCTGACGCACCTGATCAATATGTCTTCTCACTCTTTGTCCATTACTAAGTGTTCCTTGGCATGAAACTGGACCAGTTTTTGTTGAAACCACTCCCGGTATCCAGGCAGGACCAGAGCTGAAGTTCTTTGTGAGAACAAAGTCCCCCTCATCTAGACTCCTGGCCTTAGAATGAAGATCATGATAATGCTTCTGCTCCATCTGTTTACTGATCACCTGACTCTTGAAGTCTGGGTGTATCAAATCCAGCGTAGATCTGAGTTTCCTTCCACACAAGAGTTCTGCTGGAGATTTCCTGGTAGTAGACTGTGGGGTTATTCAATAGCCAAAAAGAGCTCTGGCCATCTTGGTTTCCACTGACTCCCCCACTCTTTTCTTCATCAGACTTTAGAAAGTCTGCACAGCTCTCTCAGCTAACCCATTTGAGGCAGCATGGTACAGCGCTATTTTTCTATGCCGAATTCTGTTCTTCAGGGTGAACTCGTGGAACTCTTCACTTGTAAAACACGTACCATTATCCGACACGAGGACTTCTAGTAGTCCATAACAACTGAAGGTCTCCCTTAGACACCTGATGGTTGTGGCAGATGTGGAGTTGTTCACCGTGTGTGCTTCAATCCACTTGGAAAAAGCATCCACTTGAGTCAGGAACATTTTGTCCATGAAGGGGCCTGCATAATCAATGTGGATTATTTGCCGAGGTTGAGCAGGAACCTCCCATGGATGTGACGGAGCCACTGCCGGATTATTCCTATTTTCCTGACAAATGGTACAGGTCTTTACTAGCATCTCCACCTCTTTATCCATGTTTGGCCACCACATGTAGCTGCGTGCCAATCCTTTCCTTCTTGTTATTCCGGGATGGGTGTGATGAAGTTGTAGTAGTGCTGCACGGCCCTGTGGGGGAATAATTACTCTTCCTCCCCACAATATACAACCCTCCTGAGTGCTGAGCTCATCGTTTCTTTGGAAATAGGGTGTCAATGCCGACTCCGCCACTGCTCTGGGCCACCCTCTTAGTATGAACTCCCGCACCCAGCTCATGACTGGATCCTTGTCTGTCCCTTCTTTTATCTGGGCTGCACTCACCAGAGGAACATCAGTGTCCTGGAACATCAACATGCGCTCCTCTTCTCCTGTGGTTTCCTTAATTTCTTCCTCCCTTGGAGACTGGGACGTAATTTTGGGGGGGGACGGGTGGGACATGTCCCCCCCACTTTTTCAAAAGGCAGTTTTGGTCCCCTGCACTTTTTTCCGTCCAAAAACAATATTACGCTCCATTAAATGGATTTGGTTGAGCACTAGGACCGAAACGGAAAACGGTTTCCTATTAGACCCGCCCAAAAGCTAATCTATTGGCTCTGCTGATACTTGCTAACGTATTATTGGCTGTTGCTGCTGTCACTCCAAGTTGTAAACAGTCAGAACGTGCTCACGTTGTTTTGCTAGTTTGGAGCCGCTAGGGAACACCGGTACTGAGTCACATCGTCAACTAGACGCTGTGTAATATCAGAGCTCAGCTCAGCTTCCATTACATAACATTTGAATAAGTGTTCATTTGTGAGTCTTTGGTAGTTAGGCACAGCCAGGAGGCAGCATGTCAAGAAAACGAAAAGTGGATATAAGAGACTTCTTTCAAAGTCAAAACGTAAGTTGGAACATGTGACACCCCTGCATTAAGCTCAGACTCACCTCCTCCTTCACAAACATACTCAAAACTAACTTTTACAAACTCATCTCCTCCACATAACTGACTCCTCAGACACAATTTATTTGTATTATTATAATAATTATTTTTTTATTATTACTATTATCATCATAATTATTATTACTAGTAGTAGTAGTAGTAGAAGTGTAACTTCAAAACTTTTATCATTTAACTTTATTGTAAACTTATCTATTGCAATGTATATGTTCACATTAAAAAGCTCTGAAAAATAAACAGTATCATCATCGTCAACGGATTTTTTAAGCTTAATGTCAAAGATGTACACTTTTCATTAGATTTATCTTATTTTTTCCATTTATTTTTCGTGTGTTGAAATGCAACAACTGTTTAAACACTTTTAAGGGAAAAAACATATTTAATATGTTTTTATACACTCAAATGTTAGGGTGATGATCATGTGTAAAACATTAGTTCAGCATGTCCTCTAACACAGCAAATGAACAAACGGCCAGATCTCAGGAGGGACCGTTTATGTATAAATAATTTTTATACTTTTGACTAGGCCTGGGAAAGTAACACATTTTGCTGGATGATATTTTGTCCAACAAATTGTTGATGATAAACGATATCATTGTCAACATTATCTAGACCAAAATAACCACTAATATAATGTTAATATATCATAATAATGCAAGTACACCCTTTAAAATGCAACAAATAAACCTTCATTTAACATTGAAATGTCCAGAACCAGAACTTCTAAATGAATAAAAATAACAAACAAAAATTTAATAAAAAAGGAATCTCACTCCCTGTTAGAAAATGTTGCACCAAAAACAATAAAAAAAGACCCAAAACAATAAATACAATGGCCTATCCATTGTCAACAGCCAAAACTGCACTTCAATAATGATAATGGATAAAAATAATAATAGAGTTGTACATTTTTTAACTTATATATATATATATATATATATATATATATATATATATATATATATATATATATATATATATATATATATATATATATATATATATATATATATATATATATTGAGGATGGAAAAATTATTGAGATGGGCACGTGACGTGTCAAGGGGTCTTTACATAACACCCCCCACCCAAAATCCGCACAAGCCTGCTGTGTCCCCCCCACTTCTGAAATCAAAATTTCGTCCCTGCTTGGAGATAACGGCAACCTGCTCAAGGCATCTGCATTGCCATGGTCTTTACCCACTTTGTACACGATGGTATGGTCGTAAGCTCCCAGGGTCACTGCCCACCTCTGAATACGTGGTGAAGCCATCTGTGGCATTGCCCTCATTTCATTAAATAAAGAAATCAGTGGCTGATGGTCAGTGACGATGGTGAACTGATGTCCATCGACGTTCTTGTGGAACCTCTTCACGCCAAATACCACAGCTAGGCCATCTTTGTCCAACTGTGAGTAATTATTTCCCGCTGTCGTGAGTGTCTTTGAGACAAACCCTATGGGTTGTTCTGACCCATCCGGCATTCCATGAGAAAGCACTGCCCCTATTCCATAAGGTGAGGCATCACAGGCCAAGAGGAGAGGCTTGCTGCTGTCAAAATGTACTAACACATGTCCATTTCTCTTCCTTCCTCAGCAACCCATGCAATGGTGCCAGTCGACTTGAGAGGTTTGGCAGGAACTTATGATAGTAGTTTTAACAGTCCCAAATAGGCTTTCAGCTCTGTGACGTTACGTGGTGGTGGAGCGTTTGCTATGGCGTCGACTTTCTCTTGGAGTGGATGTAGTCCGGTGGCATTTATTCTGTGCCACAACAATGTCACTTCCTGAGCCACAAACTCACACTTGCTTCTCTTCAGTCTCAGTCCTCCTTATTCCAATCTTTCCAGGACTTCCTCCAGGTTCCTTAGATGTTCTTGTTCATCTCTCCCTGAAACCAAAATGTCATCCAGGTACACTGCCACGTTTGGCACTCCCCTCAAGATGTTCTCCATGGTTCTTTGGAAGATAGCCGGACTGGATGCTACTCCAAATGGCAGGCGGGTATAAGTGTATAACCCCTTGTGTGTGTTCACTGTGACATATTTCCTGGATTCTTCATGCAACACCACCTGCTGATAAGCATGGCTCATATCCAGTTTGGTAAAAAACTTTCCTCCAGACAGTTGAGCGAATAAATCCTCCACATAGGAATCAGATATTGCTCTAACTTGGCCACTCTGTTGACGGTCAGCTTATAATCTCCACAGAGTCTGATGGATCCATCTGGTTTTTGAACAGGAACTACTGGAGCAGCCCACTCTGCAAACTGCACTGGTTCAATAATCTGTTCATCCAGCAGTCTTTGAATCTCTCTCTCCACTCGTGGTTTCACTGTGTAGGGTACTGGTCTGGGTTTATAAAAACGCGGTTGAGCTTCAGTGTCCACATAAATGCTGGCTTTCATGCCCTCCAGCTTTCCCAGCCCCTCCTTAAAAACCTCTGAATGGCTTTCCAGCACCTCTGTTTTTGGTGTCAGGCTAACCTGGTTAACCAGCTGATTAGCCATGTCCAGTTGCTGCAGCCAGCTGCGTCCCGACAAATTTGGTCCCATGCCTTCTACTATCACTATGGGAAGTTGTCCTTTTGTTTTCTCTTGTTGCACCTCCACTTCTGCCATCCCCAGAACTTCCAACGTCTCCCCAGTGTACGTTTTCAGCGTCAGTGGGCATGTGTTGAGTTCTGATACGGCTGTTTTTATCCATAGCTGCTTATATTGTTGTTCACGTATTATTGTGACCCCACAGCCTGTGTCCCCTTCAAATGTCACATCTATTCCATTTATCTTCACCTTGCGAAGAATGGGAGCAACCTTAGGTAAGTCTTGTGACATATTATAAATGGTATTTATTCCCTCTGTGTCCTCTGTCACTCTGCTCCCCCTCTCTCAGCATGTGAGCTCTCCCTTCTTTATGTGAGTCCCTCTTGCTGTTCTTTAGGCCCCCATGCACCCCCTTGTGGCTCACCTGCGGCAACATCTTTGATCGGCAGGCTCTTTTAATATGACCCCGTTTCCCACATTTATGACACAGCTCAGAAGCGAACTTGCATTCAGCTGCTACGGGCTGACCATTGCACCTATAACAGCTGAGAACCTTCCGCTGGGCCTTCTCCATGGCTAGCCTGTGCACCGCCTGGCCCCCGTATGAGCGAGAAGCTGCCGGAAGATCCTCCAACAAAGTCCTCCTCAAATCTTTGACATCTTTAGAAGCAGACTCCATAGCTTGGCACAACTTAAGAGCCTTTTCAAACGTCAGGTCGGCTTCTGACAACAGCCTTCTTTGCATCCAGTCATCCTGAACACCACACACCAGTCTGTCTCTGAGCATCTGCGGCAAAACGTCTCCATATTCACAGTGTTGAGCCAGCCTCCTCAACTCAGCCACATATTCAGCCACAGTTTCTCCGGTCTTTTGCATTCTGGAGTTGAATTTAAATCTCTGCACAATCTGGCTTGGCTTGGGGCTGAAATGAGTCTGGAGTATTTGTATGAGCTCATCATAAGTTTTGTCTTTCTGCGTTTCCGGGCTTAACAAGCTCCTCAGCAAGCTGTATGTAGCCGAACCCACTCCACTTAACAAAACAGCTTTCTTTTCATCAGCGTCATCTATCTCATTTGCCTCGAAAAAAACCTCCAGCATCTCGCTGTATTCCTCCCAAGACTGGGATTCTCTGGCAAAAGGACTCACCGTTCCTATCACAGCCACCATTGTTTTTTCCCTTTGTTCTTTCTTTCTTTCTTTCTTTCTTTCTTTCTTTCTTTCTTTCTTTCTTTCTTTCTTTCTTTCTTTCACTTTTTCCCCCCTGAAGCAGCTCCTCTGGTCGCCGACACTTCCTTGCCCCGCCGCGCCTCGAAGCTCCGCTGTTTCTTCCCAGCTGATGTTTCTTTATCCTCTTCGCCAATTTATGTGATATCTTGGGAGAAGAACCAGCACATACTCCAGTAATTAAGTTACTGTCAAACCTTTATTCTGCTGCTTTCACAGGGAACTCACCATACAACAACTACACTTCTTCCTCTGGTCTACCTAGAGGTCATAAAGAACTAACCGGCACAACAATGCTCCCCCTAGTGGCTCTTAGCCACAAAACACTTTTAAGACACTTTACTACAGTTATAATATAGTATTTGCATAAACTACTAAAATGTGATTGAGATTTAGGCACCGACTGGCTGTCTGTTAGCTTTTCTGGTTGATCAATACAAATCTTTATTGTTCCAAAAGCTATTTGCAACACATCAATAGTTCAAAGAAGCACACCATAAGATCTGAACTTTAATCACTTTATGCTTGATGCTGTTGTAAATGGATGAAACACGACCGGCATAAGACACACAGCAAAGTCTACACCCATTCAGATGTCAATAAGCTCTTGCATCAGCAGACGTCTGCCACATCATCAGTGATCCTAACCCAATATCCAACATGACTTCATGGAAATGCAACACTTTGTTGAAGCTGCAAAAACATGCAGCTTTTCTTTGAACCACCCCCACCCTGTAAAACACAAAGAGCCACACAGAGCCCCCACATAGAGGGCTGTGGAGTGCTTCTAAATTATCCTACATGTGCATCTGTGACTCTCAGCTGGCAGAGTATGTACTCAGTTGTGTCTCTTTAGGTAACAGGCTCCAGCTAAACCCACATGCAAATCAGAGAGTGCACCACTTTCAGCATGTTTCTCACCTTGTGATGCTGAAAGCCACCCATGAAGAATTAGATTTGTGCTTAACTAGAGCATGTGAATTCCCAGAGTGGGAATACAACGGATGTGTGCTTCCTGACCCAATATTCTGAAGTAATTCCAAAATTAACATCAGTTTTTTAGGCCATTTATTGAGGAGACAGGAAGTTGTGTTATTGTGAAATAGGTTATTGTTATTTACCTCAGAGACACATGTGATATTGTCTTTGTAAAAACGTACATTTTATTTATGAAAAGTGAATTACATGAGAGTATGTTTGTGTTTGCATTACAATGACACAATGTTAGCTTGTTTCCATAATGGGAGACATCGTGCACACAGCATCCAGCTCTGCAGAGGACACCAGCCCACAGGCCGCCTACTGCTGAGATACTCCATGCTTTTTGTGTCCTGATGAGCACTGTTCTCCCAGCGCCCGCTGGAATGTTATTATGATAGAAAAGCAGCAGATTCTGGTAAATCCCCTCTCTGTGTACATGGATCTCTGCGCATCAAGCTGGAGGTCTTCGGGCGCTGTGCTCCACTAACCCATATTTACTGAAACCCTGTTGGCCATGCTGAATTAGATAGAGTAAATGTCCGATCCCCGTGACCTGCATGCGCTTTTCTTTCTTAGGCGTTGCGACAGCGTTTTCTGGTAAATGCGTAAAGATCACGCTTATTGCGTTAGAGCTGCTTTTTAAAAATACACGAATTATTGAGAAATACAGAGCTTCTGTTTTGTCGGCATCTTACCGTATAGCTGCCGATGATATCCTCTCACGGCGGCTGCTGATGTCGGATTTAATGTTGTTCTTTTCTGTCTGACGCTTGTTTCTCCTTTTTATCCTTTTTGGAGAATCACAGTGAGCGCAAAAAGCTGTCGTGTTGTCTGACCGGAGCCGAGGAATGCGTTCAGGTTTCCCTGGTGATCATGTTTCCAGCGGATCTCTCAGAGGATGTGCGTCCCCTCCTGCCTGCTGGAGCTAGGCCGCGCTATGGCAGAGGAGACCCTCCCTCCCCCGGGCGCAGAGCGGTATCAGGTGGACGCTCAGCATCCTTCACATTCCAGCATCACTGAACGATAAAGGGCACGTGCACAGAAAAGACTGTTCTTGTTCTCCACCATTTTTTAAAGGTTGGTATTTAAACATGATGTTTATTCAATAAAGAAATGGTTCAGGTTTCCTGTGGTGCTGCTCTGGGGACTGATTTAAATTGAAAGCTGCTTTTGGTGTAAACATTTGTAGTGTTTTTATTCTCTCTCTCTTTCTCTCTCTCTGGCGGTATGTACAAAGTTTAGTGCTGAACAAAAAAGTGGTCAAAGGGTTTGACCTGGTAGTCGTTTTCCAAAGCAGGCTGAGCCACCTGCTGGTTGTTATTGACCTGCATGATGCCTTCAGGGGCACCCAACATGCAGGCTATTAGTAAAAGTGAGAATTATATCAGGCAGGAAGTGAAATATGAAACCCATCATTTAAATAATAGTCAACCGATACCATTTTTTTTTCAAACACAACGTTTGACAACAATTAGAAGAATTTTGGCTGCATTTGAGAAAAAAAAACATAAAATCAATGCAATGTGATTATTCATGTATTAGTGTAATGCTGTAAGTTGCTGATAAACAGGGGAGGCTCTAGAGGTGCGGGGTGGGGGGTGTCATCTGCTCTGTTGCATCTGATTCACATGGAGTATAGAACGCAGGGCTTGAGTCACTAGGGAGTTAAAGGGAGCCCAGCTCCCCTGAAAGAGCGATAGGCTCCCCCAGATGCACTTAACTGATACCAAGGAGTCAGAACGACCCAGTGATGACACAATGCCTTTTTGATGTGTATCAATATACCTATTCTGAAATACGTGGTACTAAGGAGTCACATGTTTTATACACACTGGGGCAATTTCAAATTTTAGTGAGTAATTACAAAAATACAAGAAGCAATTTAGTTAAAGCTACAATCTGGAATAATTGTTTTATTCAACACCACCATCTAGTGGCAAATGCATCACACCTCATGCAAATGTTTTCACTTCCTACAGCGCCTCTCGTTCGTGAACACACTAGCAGACGTAATGAGCTAAAACACGTTATTTACAATTATCATTATTGTGTTATGTTGTTTATAAAAACATTTAAAAGACTTTCTTGTCCACAAGAAAAGTTGTCAACTCCACATCTGTCTAGGTATGTCCTCAATAGCTTGTGCTTGCTCTGTGACTGTCATAACGCTATTGGTTAATGCTGAATGGCGGTTGGTTCAAATTGCATGGGGCTCTACGGGACGAGAGACAAGCTTAGCAAAAAATAAAAATAAATAAAATACAAATTACCAACATCAAGACATTCACTTTTACTGATTTCTAAACACACACACACACACACACACACACACACACACACACACACACACACACACACACACACACACACACACACACATTAATCTCAGTCAGGGGCAAACTCCGGATTGTAGCTATAAGTTACTTTGGATTCAACAGCTTTTCAGCTAGTTTCTAAAAATAGGCACTTTAGCAAAACAAAAATGCATTATTTCCGTTATTTATCTCTGGAACAACATGAAAATATTTGTTTAAGCATCAGTTTTCGATTTCAGATAAATGCATTCTTTGGTTCCACATCTGGCGTTAGGCTAAGGTGTCACAAAAATTAATGCTTAGGCTCTGCCTTCAACAGGGGGGTCCAAGCATGCTGTCAGGGTGGCACTGACCTCTCCGGGACCACTCACCGTCTAGAACCGCCCCTGCATCATTGATCGCATTGACATTCTAGTGACAGTAAATTGTTTATAATCCAGACACACTAGCAAACTGTAATCTTCATTCTTCCTCAGAACTTTTAGTGGGTGTTGACATGGGCATGACTGACCAAGCCCACTTGTCGGGTCTGCAGCCTGACAGTCTGCAGCATCTGGACTCGCCAGGATTTTATTTGTGGACATCAGCTCTACCTTCAAAACATTCCTCCCAGACCTCCAAGACAAACTGTCCCCGATGAACCTGCCTGACCCCATCTGCAGGTGGACCACTGACTCATTGATGGACAGAAACCAGCAAGTGAGACTGGGAATGAATGCCTCTGACCTGTGGAACATCAACACTGGTTCCTCTCAGGGTTGTCTTCTCTCTCCTCTGCTCTTCTTACTGTACACCAATGGCTGCACCTCCAAAGAAGAAGAAGAAGAAGAAGAAGAAAATATCATTTCTATAGCGCCTCTCAAGATAAAAAATCACGAGGCGCTTCACAAAAACAAAAAAATGTAAAAATATAAAAAAGAATTTAGAAAATGGTTCAAAATATATTTAAAATGAGCAAAAAATAGACAATTTTGAAAAAATGTTAAGAAAGAGCGAGAGAGTGAATGGGAACGAGGGAAATCAGTGGATCCTGAGGAAGGTGGAATAGGTGGGGAGAGCAGAATAAAGAGAGAGTGGTGAAGAAGTTCATACAAAAGTGACGTTGAACAAGTGAGTTTTCAGCTGCTTTTTAAAGGAGTCCACTGAGTCCACTGATCTCAGGCTCAGGGGGAGAGAGTTCCAGAGTCTGGGGGCCACAGCAGCAAATGATTTGTCACCTTTGGTCTTTAGCCTGGTGTGATGCACATCCAGTAGGCTTTGATCACTGGACCTCAGGGACCTGCTGGGGGTGTAGGGACTAAGAATATCACCAATGTAAGATAGTGCTTGTCCATGTAAGGCCCTGTAGACCAGAACCAGGATCTTGAAATGAACCCTGACATTGAATGGCAGCCAATGAAGCTGGAGGAGAAGCGGGGTGATGTGGGTGTGTTTGGAGGACTTGGTCAGAAGCCGAGCACAGGCATTCTGAACCACCTGTAGACGGCTCAGGGAGGTTCTGCTCAGACACGTGAAAAGAGAGTTACAGTAGTCTAAGCGTGAGGAGATGAAGGTGTGGATAACTGTCTCAAGTTCAGAGCGAGACAGAATGGGACTCAGCTTAGCAACATTCCTGAGATGGAAGAAGGAAGAGCGAACAAGAGAACTGACATGAGAATCCAGGGTGAGAGCTGGGTCAAAGGTCATGCCAAGATTCCTGACGGAAGGTTTGATGTGAGGAGCAAGCTGACCAAGAGAGTCTCTGACTTTGGGAACCAGCTTGTCTGGGGCACAGATGAGGATTGTGAGGTCTTATCTTCATTCAGCTGTAGAAAGTTCCCAGCCATCCAGGTTTTGATAGAGTCTAAGCAGGTGTGTAACAGGTGCAGCTTAGACATCTCATGGGGCTTAAAGGAGATGTACAGTTGGATGTCATCTGCATAAAGATGGTAGGATATTCCTTTGAAGGAGCTCAGGATGTGCTGAAGTGGGAGCAGATAGAGGAGGAAGAGCAGAGGCCCCAGCACAGAGCCTTGTGGGACACCATGGGTAAGAGAGATGGTGGATGGCCTAAACTTGGAGACGGCCACAGAAAAGGAGCGCTCAGAGAGATAAGAGGAGAACCACTCCAGAGCAGATCCTGATAGGCCTACCCATTCTGTCAGCCTCTCCAGTAGCAGGTGATGGTCAACAGTGTCAAAGGCTGCAGTCAGGTCCAACAGGACCAGAACAGAACAGTCCCCTGCATCACGGTGGGTCAGAAGGTCATTGGAGACCCTAAGAAGAGCTGTTTCAGTAAAAAGAGCTGTACGAACACCTGACTGTAAGTAATCATAGATGTTATGTTCATCAAGAGCAGCTGTGAGTTGTTTAGCCACAACCTTTTCCAAGATCTTGGAGATGAACGGAAGTTTAGAGGTGGGTCTGAAGCTGCTATGGAGAGAGGGGTCGAGACTCTGTTTTTTAAGAAGCGGGTGGATTACAGTGTTCTTAAAGTAAGCAGGGACCTGACCAGAAACCAGAGAAACATTAATTATAGAGAGCACGCTGGGACCGATGGACTGAAAAGCACTTTTAAACAAAGATGAGGGTAAGATGTCGAGGGGGCATGCAGACGTCTTCATAGAGTTAACTAGTTTGGTTAACTCAGGCAAAGAAACAGGAGCAAAGCTATCTAGGATGATGGGCCTGGTTGGAGTTGGGAGAGGCAGCGATAAGGCTGAAGGAGAGATGCTTGATCTAACCTTATTGACTTTGTCCACAAAGAAAGACAGAAAGTTCTCACAGTCTGCAACTGAGTGGATGGAGGCTGTAGGAGAGGCAGGAGAGACTATGCTGCTGATGGTGTTAAACAGCACCTTGGGGTTCCCTTTGCTCTGGGACACCAGGTTGGAGAAATGGGAAACCCTAGCGTCTCTGACTGCAGAGTGAAAGGATGTCAGAAGATCCTTTAGATGCAGCAGATGGACGTGGAGATGGGTTTTCTTCCACAAGCGCTCAATTTTTCTGCATTGGCGCTTTAGGCTGCGAAGGCTGTCATTAAACCAGGGAGTAGGGTTCACTGCAGGAACTGATCTGGTTCTGACAGGACAGATGTTGTCCAGAATGGAGAGGCAGTGCTCGTTAAACTGAGAAGTTAAGGAATCTGGGTCGGTATCAGAAGAACAGGGTGGATCAAAAGCAGCAGAAAAATTGCTAGCTGTGCTCTCATTAAGAAAACGAGAACTAACCATATGGCGAGCAGGAGGTGGGGACGCAGAAACTGACAAGTTAAAAAAAAATGCAATGGTGATCTGAAATATAAACGTCCTCAGAACAAACACTGTCAGCATTTAGACAGTGTCAGCTGCACGAGTAGTTCAAAAGCAGCTGCAAACCATGACAGAGCTTCCATCTGGTTTCATACGGCTGTAAAAGCTTTTTATGCCTCCGTTTTGACCTTTTTGTCACATGGTGACAATAGTTTGGAGCTTTAAATTAGGTTTAAACACCCGTGGCAACTGACTAATCCTTTTTCTGTCTTTCAGATGACTTATTGACAACCATTTTTAACCGTATAATGCATTTCTTTCTGTTTCCTCCTTAAAAATTATAACAATGCACACTAATCTGAGGTATGCAGAGATTTTCAGAAAAGGTCTTGTTGCAAACAGCTTTTCTTTTTGACATTTTTTGTGGTTAAAAAATGGTGGGGGTGGGTTGGGGTGGGTGGTGGGGGAACAAAGCACACTGACAAACATCAATGGAC